GTTGTCAAGACTTCAATGTCTTTAGACAGCTGGTTTCAACTATGGTGCGTTATATATACTAATAATAAAAACCTATTAAAGATAAATGATGTTAATAAATTATGCACTTGTAGAAAGAGCCTCCAAGTTGTCAAGATTTTCAATGTCTTTGGGCAACAGGTTGTCAAGACTTCAATGTCTTTAGGCAGCTGGTTTGAACTATGGTGCGTTACTTAACTCGATCATGTTTATTTTAAATTATAATTTTGCGGGGAAAATTTAAAATAATATGTACCGGTATTAACAGTCTCCAACGGTTTTCATAATCTTCGTCATCTAAGGCTTGTGAAGATAACTTACGACTGTTTAATTTTAAATTACATTGTATCAAATTAAGGACAAGTACTGTAGCAAGTACTTCCAATTAAGTTAAATCCACATTTTAAATGTCCCTGGACAAAAGAATGCAAAGAGTTCATTTTGATATGGTGAAAACTTCAGTGTTGCATTACCCTCCCCCCATCTCAGTTCATCCTACTTTGTTATTTTGGTACGTCTAATAGCGGAGGATTGCCGCGTGCATGTAATATATCTTCTCAGGAAAAACTTCATCTTCATGATCCGGTTTTGCTTTAAAATTTTTGTTTACAGTAAATATTGTACAGTCTTTATAGCTAGCTATTTTTGTACAAATTTGTAAAACTAAATTCTTGTAACATAATCCATGATTCTTGAATAAAAGTTTGTTAAAATCAGTGAAGGCAATTCTAAGAAAAGTTGAATTGTCTTCACAGTGTTGTTGTTTTGTTTTTCCTCTATTTTATCCTATCCATGTGAGCAATATTAAATCCGTTTAATTGCATGAATCGAAGTGCATGAATTGAAGATTTGAAGTAGCGTGTATCATCATTTATCCAACGTTTTCCTGCAGGTGCAGTATACGCCAGAAGCGTACGTGCCGCCAACTGTTTCTTTTGACCCGATAATAATTCCGCGTCTCACAAAAACACTACCACTATAGCCTACAAAATGTGGTGTTTTATACGAATGCGCTGACTAAAGAGAGTATAATGCTACACCTACAGACTACCGCCTGTTTTCCGTCGAATTTCGGTCGCGTCGAATGCAATTCAAACCTATTGTCATTGCGTATAAAACGGGCCTAAAGAAAGAAATATAAATATTAAGAGGCAAACAAAGTTAATTAAACAATAAGCAATACATGCTTTTGCTCCGAGAGAATACGTTTCCAAGTTTGCCAAAAAAGAAAGTTGGGTCAAGTTATAGATTAAATTGTGTAAATATTCAAATTAAACATACAAATTAATAAATAACTGGAAGATGAAACTAAACCGCAATCATATTTCGGAATCACACACTGAGATGTAGTTGATTGGTGACGGGTGAAGGTGTCTTGCAGTTATAGGCAGCGTGTTGGTTAAGTCGAAAATCGCAACGGGAACTGCGCTTTTAAAGCGCAGTTCCCGCTGTGATTTTAAGCGTGCGGGTTGTAATGACAGAAGCTGAGCATGACAAAGCTCTTCATGAAATTTTTGAGTGGTTTTCACTCATTGGATTAACCTTCAACAAAGACAAATGTGAGTTCAGTCAATCGCAGCTCACATTTTTTGGTTTTGTTTTCTCAGGTGATGGTATTTCACCGGATCCAGCGAAGGTTTCAGCAATTCACAACTGCCCACCTCCAAATTCAATTAAAGCTGTTCGGAGTTTCCTTGGGATGGTGACATATTGTGCGATATTTATCCCTAATTTCAGTGATCTCACAGAGCCTTTGCGAAAATTAACGAGAAAAAATGTGCCTTTTTGCTGGACATCTAGGCATGCTAAATCCTTCAACGCAGTAAAAGATGCCCTCACAAGTGCAACAGTTATGGCATATTTTGATCAAACCAAGGAAACAGAACTTATCACTGATGCATCACTTTTTGGTCTCTCAGCTATTCTGACACAGAAAGTCCCAGGATCAGACCAACGAAATGTTGTTGCATATATCAGTCGTTCGCTGTCGGATGTTGAGAGACGATACTGTCAAACAGAGCGAGAAGCTCTTGCAATTGTGTGGGCAATTGAACGTTTACATATCTATCTATACGGAGGACATTTTACTCTGATAACTGATTGCAAACCAGTCGAGTTGATTTTAAATAATCCACAATCAAGACCTCCAGCCAGAATTGAGAGATGGAATTTACGCTTGCAAGATTATGACTTTAATGTAAGGTATACAAAGGGACTTGACAATCCATCAGATTTCCTATCTCGACATTTACCTGTTAACAACACCACTGATGACAGACAGTTCCAAACAATGGCTGACAATTATGTTTGTTTCCTTACCCAACATGCTGTGCCAAGAGCAATGACTCTGCCTGAAATACAACAAGCCACCGTGGCTAATTCAACATTACAGATCCTAAGCAACCTCATCACAACAGGTAAATGGCATTTAATAGACTCTCTCGACGTACAATCCAATCCCAATCCCAATGTAAAGGTTTTGGACTTGAAAGCATGTGAGAAAATTAAAACAGAACTTACACTAAACGAGCATGATGGAATTATATTACGAGGCTCTCGAATTGTGCTTCCAGAAAGCCTTAGACTAAAGGCTGTTCAAATTGCTCATGAAGGCCACCAAGGGCTAGTAAAAACTAAACAGTTGTTGCGAGAAAAGGTTTGGTATCCAGGTATAGACAAGCTTGCTAAGCACACAGTGGATACTTGTTTGTTATGTCAGGCAAATGGACCAAACAGTCACCAAGAACCACTGCGAATGACGATGCTGCCTCCCCAACCCTGGCATACAATGAACATTGATTTTTGTGGACCATTTCTAGGTGGTTCATATCTGTTAGTGATTATTGATGCATATTCACGATTTCCAGAGGTGGAAATTGTAAGTTCAACATCTGCAAAATCAACAATATTGAAACTTGAACAAATTTTTGCCACACATGGTATTCCAAAGGTGTTAAAGAGTGATAACGGTCTACCATTCCAGAGCCATGAATTTAGTCTGTACTTGAAAGAACTCGGCATTAAACATAAACCAAGCTCACCATTATGGCCCCAAGGAAATGGACAAGCCGAGAACTTTATGAAACCACTTGTAAAGGCTGTGAAATCTGCTCATCATGAAAACAAAGATTGGAAACGTGAGATGTTTAAATTTTTGCTCAACTACAGAGCTACCCCACATTCCATCACTGGCAAGTCACCGTCCGAGTTGCTATACAACCGTAAGATTCAAACAAAATTACCTCATGTGACAGTCGAAAATGATTCTTCACTTCATCAAGAGGTGAAGGAGAGAGATGAAAGGTTGAAAAAAAACCAAAAAGAATATGCTGATTCCAAAAGAAGAGTTAAGTGTGCTGACATCAAGAAAAGTGATTTAGTTTTGGTGCGGCAACCGAAATAAAATAAAATGTCCACAAAATACGATCCAATACCATATGAAGCCACAAATCGCCGTGGGAACAGGATCACAGCAATTAGAAATGGGAAATATATAACTCGGAACATTTCGTTCTTTAAAAAGTATCACCCCAGACATGGCAGATCGTTGGAGTCAACAGAGATAATGGATGAAGAAAATTATTCCTCAGATGAAGATGTCCACGAAGAGCAGGAACAGTATGATGGACTGAGACAGAATGATCGTCCGCGGCAGCACAATGGTCAGAGACAAGATGACGGTCCGAGATATCCGGCAAGAGAAAGACAGCGGGTGTACAGGTATGGAAATAACATTTATGATTGACCTGGACTAAAACAGATAAGATACAGTTTAAACATTATATGCATATTTTGTTATAGTTAGTACTAGAGTTCATATTTAAATCAAGGGAGAGATGCAATGTTGACATTATTGACACTAGCACACACGTGACTAGAAAGTTAGTTAAGTATTTTTAGAAGCACGAGGCTAGGGAACCGGAAAGTAATTGGATACGTACTATGCGGTTTGTACAAGTTGTTTGATATCTATTGTTATACTTAAAAGTGCTTGATATTGATACAAAACCACGAACATTACAAAAATTATCTACAAGCGAGAATGATACAGACAGCGATGGAGCTATCACACGTCGACGGCGAATTTGCTCAAATAACTAAACTCAAAAAACTTAATAATTGTCCCAATTTAACGAAAAAATGATATTTTACTAACCTCGCGAGTGTTGTAAGAAATGAATTTTGTTAAGACAAGTTTTCCCGCGCGTTTATAATTTTAAAACTGGTAGAAAAAACGGCCTTCTAAATTAGTCCTGAGGAGTCTGAAGTTTGGCATTATCACACACCGTCGAAAACTCCTCATTCTACGCAATTTACATTAAAATTTAAATGCAACAAATTTCATGCTGTAATGACAAAACGCATTATGCCGTGCCAGGTATGCCTAGCAAACTGCCTGTCTCAACACTAACCTGCAGAGGAATATCGAATACAGCCCTCAATCCTCCTCCTCTCCGGGCTCCCACTCTTCTGGAAAATAAGCATTACAAAATCCGAGAGTGTTATTTTCGTTCTATTTGCAATGACAACAAATAGGACTACATTTTCTACTTGAAATCGCTAAACGCAACCTTTATAAAGTAAATGAAAATGTTGTAATTGCTTCTTTCAACTTGTTTGACAAAAGCCATGAAATGGTGTTCCTGGTGTCCTGTAAAAACAAACAAAATGCCATATCAAACTTTCGCAATACAAAAAGTAGTTTCAAATTTCACGGCTTCATATTTCACAATGGTTGACCCAAAATAAGGCAACATTTTGCACTTTTCTCGTATAAATTATTGTGCTATTATTATATCCAAATTATATCCAAAAAATTAGCTAGAAGTATTGGTGTATTGTCCAAATTACGTCATTTTGTCCCTACAAGTATTTTAATCCAATTATACTATTCTATTATTTTCCATTTCTGATATACAGTGTAATCATATGGGGAAATACCTATCAATCTAACCTTCGTCCTCTAGCAGTTCTGCAAAAGAAGGCTATACGCATCATTACCTTTTCTAACTTCAGGGAACATACTTCTCCTCTATTTAAAAAATTGAATGTATTAAAATTTCCGGATTTTGTTTATGTATACATAGCACTTTTTGTACATCAGTATAGTAATGGCAAACTTCCTGACGCCTTTGATGACTTCTCTAGCCTAATACAAAATCGGCATAATTATAATACTCGTCTTGCTTCAAGATCAACCTACTCTCTTCCTCCAGTTCGCACAAATTATGTCAAATTTAGAATCAGATTCAGAGGAACTCAAATTTGGAATGAAATTGACGGCGAGTCTCTTAAAATACTTTCTAAATTTGCTTTCAAACGCAAACTAAAGGAACTGCTGATTGGTGCCTACTAAATCACATCACGAAACACCTTCTATATGTTGTTGTTGTTGTTGTTGTTGTTGTTGTTGTTGTTGTTGTTGTTGTTGTTGTTGTTGTTGTTGTTGTTGTTGTTGTTGTTGTTGTTGTTGTTGTTGTTGTTGTTGTTGTTGTTGTT